ACTCACCGGCGCCGAGGCCTCGTCTCCGGTGCGATTCGGCGAAGGCGGTGATGCGCGGCCAACTGATGGCGATCTCCTCGGCTAATTAATTAAAAAAATTAATTAAAAACGCGATTAATTAAAAGCTCTATCGATTAAAAGTCGAATTAATTAAAAGAAAAATTAATTAATTTCAATTTTTAGGGTTCCCAAATTAAGGAAAAATCCAAGAATTTTGGGGGCCTTACCCAAGGAAATGACGCTCTCGTAGCTCTCCTGCATTTTTTAATTTTTTTTAATTTTATTTTTTTTTTTTTAATTTTATTTTTTGGGAAAAAAAAATTTTCCCAAATCCGTGGAATTCCAGCGGCTCCGGGTGGGATTTTGGGGTTCCTGGAAGAAGGGAAAAAAAAAAAATTCTTAAATTTTGGGGTTTTTTTTTTCCATATTTGGGATTTTTTAATTTTTATTTTTTAAGGGGGGATTTTTAAAGGGAATTTTATTTTTTTTTTAGGGGATTTTTTGGGGGAATTTTTTTGGGAATTTTTTTTTTTAGGGAACAAAAATTTGGGGATCCTGGAGGAAGGAAAAAAAAAATTCATAAATTTTGGGGTTTTTTTTTTCCATATTTGGGATTTTTTAATTTTTATTTTTTAAGGGAAGATTTTTAAAGGGAATTTTTTTTTTTTTTTTTTAGGGAATTTTTGGGGGGATTTTTAGGGAATTTTTATTGGGGATTTTTTGGGAATTTTTTCAGGGAATTTTTTTTTTTTTAGGGAAAAAAAATTTGGGGATCCTGGAAGAAGGGAAAAAAAAATTCTTAAATTTTGGGGGTTTTTTTTTCATATTTGGGATTTTTTAATTTTTATTTTTTAAGGGAAGATTTTTAAAGGGAATTTTATTTTTTTTAGGGAATTTTTTTAGGGGGGATTTTTTGGGGATTTTTTTGGGGAATTTTTTTAGGGAATTTTTTTAAGGGAACTTTTTTTAGGGAATTTTATTTTTTTAGGGAATTTTTTTAAGGGAGTTTTTAAAGGGAATTTTATTTTTTTAGGGAATTTTTTTGGGGAAAATTTTTTTTAGGGAATTTTTTGGGGGAAATTTTTTTGGGAATTATTTTAGGAATTTTTGGGGGGGGTCAGAGACTCTCAAAAAAAAAAAAAAAAAAATTTCCCACCTTTATTCCCACCCTTAATCCCGATTTTCCAAATTTTGGGAAGGATTTAAAGAAGGATTTGGGGTTTCCATGGAGGAAAAAAAAATCCAGGGAGTGAAAGGGTTAAAAAAAAAAATTAAAAATTAAAAAAAAAAAAAAGGAATTTTTGAATGGGGGGTGGTGGGGATTTAAAAAAAAAATTAAAAATTAAAAATGGGAATAAAATGGGAATAAAAA